CTCACCTTGAATAGAATTTCTTTGTCTTTTTCTTGCCATTTCAATAAAATTTGCTCAAGAGCTATGATACCTGCAAATTGAAAAATATTTTCTACAGTCCAAAAGTACAAAAATAATATCTAACTATCAAGTTAAATAATAAGACACATAAGCATATGAATAACAAAACACATAACCATACGAGATTTTAACAACTGAATGACATAGTAAAAAACGCAAAAATTTATATTGTTCAATAACAATCTAAATTAAAATAATCATAATAACATAATAGTAATAAAAATTAAGATGTATCATCATCTTCATCAAATGCTTCATTACATTCCAAAGTTTGTGGGTCGATCTCTATTCCTGGTACTCCATGTCTAACCCATTCAATATCGTCTTCACTTTCAAATGTAGTGTCATCCAATTGTTGCTCAGGCCACAATTCCATATGGCCTTCCTTATGCTCAATTGATGGTGTATCTTCACCTAAATCATAAAAACCTCTTGGCTTAAATTTAACAACAATTTGCCACTCATTTTCCATTGGATGATCGACATAAAAAACTTGTTGAGCTTGAGAAGCAAAGATGAAAGGTTCATTTGATAAATGTTGTTTTGTGTAGAGTAGATGATTAAAATTCACAAGAGTAAATCCATAATCATCTTTCTCAATAAGCCCTTTATTGTTGTTCACCCATTTACAGGTAAATAATACAAACTTGAACTTCTTGGTGTAATACAACTCAATTATGTCTGTGAGGATCCCATAAAAAGAAACATCTGCCAATATGGGATTTTTATCTCTTGCACTCGCATAACTTTGAGTGGTAGCTTTTACCATTATACCACTATTTTGAGTTTTTCTCTTGGCATCACGAGATTTTGTTAAGTATCTAACTCCATTACATATATATCCCGTCATCCTTTTTGCTTGCTTTGATGGGCCAACAGCTAAATGTTGAATATCTTGAGGTATTTGTTCACCAGCCAAATGCATCTTCTCAACCTACCATTTAAAAGTATAGTTAAAATTTAATTTTTTTATTATAGCTATAGTAATGCATATATGATGATATTTTAGTTTGTTCATAGTTACATGATTTCTAAACCATATTTGAAATTTTTCATTGTGAATCCGATCCACATCATGTCTTGATAGACGAGGATTTCCCTTCTTGATTTCTTTTATATGTTCTCTGCAAAAGTAAAATACATTTATACTTAATAGAAGCACTTGTTGATTCTATTACTTAATAATTAATTACTAAGCATGACCAATGATTTAATACTTACTCACGATATGGAGTTGTGGAGGCAGCATTAAATAAAACATGTTTGTGTTCTTGAGCATGTGTAATGTCATCAAGAATAAATCCTTTCTCTTTACTTGATCGACGACCCTCCAAATCCATTGTTTCATTAGACAATGTATTATTTCTTAATGGTCGATTAGACTTTGTCTCCACATCATCTAAGTATCTTGAGCAGAATGTCATGATCTCTTGTATCCATTGTCCCTCTGCAATGCAACCTTCTGGATGACTTCTACTCCTTACAAAGTTTTTAAGACTAAGCAAGAACCTAAAGTAGAAAATTAAAAGAATTTCAATACAATTCTTTATAATCAAAATGAAAATTATAAAATGATACCTTTCAATTGCCCACATTGAACAATATTGGGATGGTCCACCCAACATTGTTTCTTCAGCTAAATGGATGACTAGATGTTCCATGATGTCAAAAAAATATGGAGGAAATATTCACTCCAAATGACAAAGAGTTATTGCAACTCGATCTTGGAGCTTTTTCTAATTCACCTATCTTCATAACTGTTGAAGAAATGCCCCTAAAAAAATTGCTTAACTCAATTAATGGCTTAAGAACATTAACTGGCACAAGATTCCTCAAGGCTATAGGAAGGAGTTGTTGCATTAAAACATGACAGTCATGACTCTTCAATCCATGCATAGTGTGTTGTTTAAGATCAACACAATTTGATATATTTGAAGAATAACCATCTGGAACTTTCACATATCTTAAAACTTGTAAGAGAATGTCTTTTTGTTTGTTACTCAATGTGAAACATGTAGGTGGTAGATAATATTTCCCGTTAGCTTTTTTCTTAGGATGCAAAGCTTTTCGGATCCTCATCTCTTGTAAATCCAAACGAGACTTCAAATTGTCTTTTCCTTTGCCATCAACATTCAATAATGTCCAGAATATGTTGTCAAAAACGTTCTTCTCAATATGCATTGTGTCAAGATTATGACGCATCATATTGTCTTTCCAGTATTCCAACTCAAAAAATATGCTCCTTTTGTTCCATATATTTTCCAACACATTACCAACATCATCAGCATCCCCCCATTTCCTTTTACGAGATTTGGCCAATGGATCTTTTCCAAATTTATTTCTAATATTCTTCATTTGCTTAAGAATCTCAATTCCTGACACTCGTTTAGGTGCTACCTCCAATTCTGCAAGGCCATCGAACGTAACTTTATCTTTTCGAAACTTGTGACCATGAGGTAACCATCGTCTATGAGACATAAAACAATACTTCTGTCCATTTTTCAATCTTCTAAACTTAGTCTTGGTAAGACAACAAGGACAAGCATATCTTGTTTTCACGCCATATCCTGATAAGTTACCTAGTGCAGGAAAATCACTGATTGTCCAAAGTAATGATGCACGCATTTGAAACATGTGATTATTTGATGCATCATAAGTGGAAACACCAATCCATAATTCTTTTAACTCATCAACAAAGGGTCGTAGATAGACATCAATGTCATTACCTGGAGCACGAGGGCCATCAATAATCATTGATAATATCATATATGGTTGTTTCATGCACAACCATGGTGGCAAGTTATAAGGAATCAAGATGACCGGCCATGTGCTATGTGAGATAGACATAGACTTGAATGGACTAAAGCCATCTGAAGCCAGTCCAAGTCTAAAATTTTGAGGATCTTGAGCGAAATCAACATGTGTTTCATCGAAATTCTTCCAAGCAATACTGTCAGCAGGATGTCGCATTACCCCATCTTTAGTGCGACCTTCTGCATGCCATCTCATTTCGGTAGATGTTTTAGTCGACATAAATAGTCTTTGAAGTCGTGGTATCAATGGAAAATATCTAAACACTTTTGCTGGAAATTTTGAACTTTTTGAACTATTGTTGATTGATTCACCTTTAAATTGTTTGTATCTTGGAGCTTTACAGATCTTACAATTTATTTGATCTTCTGTCTCATTCCAATAAATCATACAATCATTTGGACATGCATGTATTTTTTTGTACTCAAGCCCTAAATCTTTAATAATTTTTTTGAATCATTAAAGGACTTGGGTAATGTTTCACCTTCAGGAAGCACATCTTTTAACAACTCTAGCAACATGGAAAATGAATTGTTACTCCACCCATTGAGACACTTCAAATGTAAAAGACGAACAAGAAATGAAAGTAGAGAATACTTGCTACCCGGGTATAACTCACGTTCAACTTCTTTCAATAGTTTAAAAAATTCTCCTGTCTTCTTATCAAACCCCCTATTATGTTGATTTGAACTACCCAATCCATCAGTCCCACTAGTGTCCATATCAACAAAGCTAGATGTAGGAGGAATTCCAAATGCTTCATGTAACATGTCTTGCATTTCATCACCTTTATCTAACTGATCCACACATATTGGTGAAGATGATTTCTCACCATGAAAAATCCAACTAGTGTAACTAGTTAGAAATCCATCAACCACAATATGTTCAACAATCAAATCTTTTCGAACAAATTTCATATTACGACACTTTCGACATGGACACAAAATTTCAGAGGCATTAGTCCTATCTAATGATGCAAAATGAAGAAAATTGGTTGCTCCATTCTCATATAAAGGATCAAGCCTATTGTTTATATTTATCCAACTCTTATCCATTAAGAGTATAACCTATACATATAGGAAATAAAAATCAATTAAAAAAAATAGACATTCAAAATCAACTAACAATATTAATGAAATAAATAAACGAAAGCAACCCTAATTATAAGCAGTAATCATAATACAATGATCATGATGGAGTGAATTTTTATGAAGAGTGCTTCTGTTTCTATTTATTTTTCATATATTTGCTAAAAATTGTAGAAAAATTATCTCAAGTTGGTCATTTGATAATCATTTGTAGTTTTATATCACTGATTAGTTCATATAAAGTGGTCTTCTAAAAATAAGCTAACCAACCACCTAGTAGGACTATGGTAACCATTCATGATTTATTAAAGGGGGTCTATCGCTGATAATATTATTTTGATTCAAGAGATGGTCCAAAATATGAAACTACAATATGAAAGGTACAAATCCTAGTAACAATGAGATATTAAAACTTAACACGACCAAAGCTTAAGATAGATGTTTAGTGGGAATACTTCTTGGCAAAAAAACACTAACTCTTACCGCTGGTGGTAAATCTGTTATGCTAAATTCTGTTCTGACCTCTATCCCTCTTCATATTTTCTCTGTGATACAACCTACTAAAGGCACCTTTAAACAAATTGATAGTCTCATGGCTATCTCTTTTGGGGTGAAGCTGATGGGAGGAAGAAACACCATTGGATAGCATGGGATGATCTATGTTACCCCTACGTACTCAGACGGGGGAATTTGAATGAGGGAGATCCAAAGTTTTTGTGACTCATTTTCGGTGAAGAACTGGTGGAACATTAGAACTAACAACTTACTTCTCAGAGAATTCCTCGAAGCCAAATACTACAAAAAAATTACACCACATGGCTAGAAAAGGAACTAATAATCAATCCCATACATTGAGAAGACTAATAAAAATCAAAGAACTTTCTGAACCGAATATCTTATGGAGTATTGGAGAGGGCAACGTGTTCTTCTAGTGGAATAACTGGAGTTTCAAGCAACATTCACCAAATAATTCAAATGCATAACGAACAGAATATTCAAAAAATAAAACAATTAGCCAAACGAAGTTGATTGGACTATCCAAGAATGTTGTTGACTCCACTAAAATGCATAATTTTAAGACCACAAGTGATGAAACAAAATAGAACAGATTCAAACTAAAGCATAAGAGCATAAGTTAAAATCCAAAAGTCTATAGTGTCAAAAAAAAACACATACTCGTACAGATTCAGAAGTCAAGATCTACCAAATCAAAAGAAAATACAAAACACACAAATTATTAGATCCTACAGAAGTTTTAAAAAAATGAAGCACCAAACTTGAAGAAAAAGAACATTGAAAACACATTAAAATTGAAGCTTAAGAGCACAAGTTAAAATCCAAATGGCTATAGAATCCACTAAAGCACATATTTGTACACATATCTGTACATACTCTCATATGTCAAAATCTACCGAAATTGAAAGAAATATACAAACCACAAAAATGATTAGATACTACAGAAAGGAAAAAAGCACAAAATTTGAAGAAGAATGACACTGAAAACACATTAAGAACTGAAGCATTAGATCAGCACAAGTTAAAATCCAAATGACAATAGAATCCACTAAAGCACAGACCTATTTTTTACTGATTGAGAAGTTAATATCTACCAAAACTGAAGGAAATATACAAACCCCACAAATCATTAGATATTATATAAAGGAAAAAAGCACAAAATTTGAAGAAGAATGACACTGAAAACACATTAAGAACTGAAGCATAAAATCAGCACAAGTTAAAATCCAAATGACAATAGAATCCACTAAAGCACAGACCTATTTTTTACTGATTGAGAAGTTAATATCTACCAAAACTGAAGGAAATATACAAACCCCACAAATCATTAGATATTATAGAAAGAAAAAAAGCACAAGATTTGAAAAGAAAAGGAACAATGAAAACACCTTAAAACTGAAGGTTAAGATCTTCCTGCTAGCACCTTGCCTTCTTTTTCTCTTAATCTTCAAACTGTAAATCAATGGCGAAGTTTCATTAAATCAATGGTAAAACTTCAAAAGATAGATAGAATGTAGGAAGGCGATCTGTGTGATGATTACTTAATCTGTTAACACCATATAAGAAGTACTTCAAGAACACTAAATCTAGTTCTAAGGTACAAATTTCTGCAACAATCTTCAAGTTATTGTAATTAATTCTATATCTTCAACTATCAATTAGTAAGACCTAAATTAGAGAATAAACTTGCCTCAAGCGCTGCCAAAAAGAAACCAAAAGAACTAAAACCCTAAGAACTTTGACTTCAAACTGTAAATCAATGGCGAAGTTTCATTAAATCAATGGTAAAACTTCAAAAGATAGATAGAATGTAGGAAGGCGATGCGTGTGATGATTACTTAATCTGTTAACACCATATAAGAAGTACTTCAAGAACACTAAATCTAGTTCTAAGGTACAAATTTCTGCAACAATCTTCAAGTTATTGTAATTAATTCTATATCTTCAACTATCAATTAGTAAGACCTAAATTAGAGAATAAACTTGCCTCAAGCGCTGCCAAAAAGAAACCAAAAGAACTAAAACCCTAAGAACTTTGAGCATAAAAGGAACTAAAAGGAGGGAAGCCAAAAATCTTACCGCCAATTTATTTTCCCTTGTATATGTTGTACTCCAGATTTTTTCGCTACAAATCTGCGATATACCATAATTTCCATAGTTTTTTAGTCGACCCAACCAACTTGAACAAAGATTAAACTTGATTTGAAGGAAGGACTCAACCAATTTGCACAAAGATCTCATGGGCTAGGGTTTTTAACAAAGGGTTGGAGTTCTTTCTAAATGGAAGGATGACTTTTAGAAAAAACAATTAGCGTTTTTTTATTAAAAGGGAGGTTTTTTTAATGTTTGCTATATCTGATGTGGCCTTCACATTCTAATAACTTTATTTAATTTTTTATTTTATTTATTACTATAACCTTTCACAAGACTTGTTATTTTAATATAATGAGAAAAAAGTCTAATATACCCTTCATTTCTAAAAGTGTTTCATAATATATATATATATACCCTTTTCTTCTAACGGATTCATTAAAAAAGTATTTTTAATTAATTTTTTTTTCATTCACACTTCTTTCTTTTATTTCTCTTATTTTACACCAAATAATGAAAGAAAAATGAAATAAGAATAAGAAACTCAAACAATAACAATCAAAGAAGTCAAAAAAATAATTTATGTGTGAAAAAAATTAAATACATAAGTTTTTTAAATATTACAAATCAAAAAAAAATTAATTTTATCACTTTTGTAACGATAGGGGTATATGTGAGTCACTTTTGTAATAGTAAAGGGTACATATAAGCTAGTTGCTTTTAAAACGAGGGGCATATCAACTCAAATTGACAAAGTTCAGAGGTATATTGGGTCCTCTTTTCCTTATACATAATATAATAATATACACAGTAGCCTTACACTACCTACTATCAAGGCCAAAAAATTTAATTTGGCCTGAATCACTTACCTCGTTAAGAATCCCTCTAATTATAATTATAAGGGTGAAAGATGTAAATCCTTAGTCACCAAACGTACGTATAGAGAAACCTCTCGAATAATGTTAAGCATGTCTTTTAAAAATAACAAAAATTCACCCCTATATATAGGGATAATCTATCCCAAATAGAATAGGATTCAAATTATAGTTTTATGGAAATAATAACTATGAAACTTTTAAACTAGAAAACTTTTGAAATAAGAAACTTTTAAACTATGAATCTTTTAAATAAGGAAATTTTAAACTAGGAAACTTTGGCTTTGTACATTCAAAGCTTTAACATGGACTTCATGTGACACGAACCAATTTTATTTCTTTAATATATTTGACTTTGCCTTATTTTGGACACTTCTTCTGTAATAAACATTTTCTTATTTTTTATTGAAATCTGTCAATATTTATGGAGGCAAACCATCGATCGTGGGAAAATTATTTTACTTTCCTCCTAACTATAAAAAATATTATTAAGTTGTTTTAACTATTATATAAGTTATTTTTTAAATCTATTCAGTTAGGGTGTAGGATTTAAATGATTTTTCCTTCAAACTTTTGCGAATTATTCAAATTGGTCCTTGAACTTTATGAATGGTCAAAATTTCTCCTTTATATATATGTTGTTGTACATACATTAACCCATAAGGGAAATTGAGTCATTTTGATAATAAGGAAAGCAAAAAT